ATAAGTATATAAATTCATGTATAAATTTATTTATATATATATATATATATATATATATATATATATATATATATATGTATGTATATGTATATATATAAATATATAAATATATTGATCTATATATAATTGCATAATCATCGTATCGGTTCACAATCGCGTGAAAGATATATAATATAAATGCATATCATATTATATTAATATATAAAGCGATATATACTAATATACATATAAATATTGCATCATATTATATTACATTACATTGTATGTATATATATATATTTTGTATATATAGATCTGAGCTGAAGCTACGAAGCGTGAGAACGAACGGCTATCTATGGAGCGTTGCTATTGTGTTGCACAGAGTTCTTGTGTCGGACAAAGAAGCCTCGGGGTGGTGGGGGCGGTGGACGGTTTTGTGGGCGGCTGCGGGCGCGGATAAGAAGAGTGGGAGTTGGGCTGGAGATCACACGGGCGTAGGATCAAGGGGAGATTTCCCTCGGCCGGGAACTGCGGGTAAAGACTGGGTGTCGAATATCGCGGCGACAAGGATTCGTCGATGCGCCGGAACGTCTACGAAAGCGTCTCCATTCACCGGCCCCGGCGCCACGGGGACAGCGATTCTGTCCGGCTCGTCATTCCGGCAAGATCAGACGGGCAAGAAAAAAAAACAGCTCGCCCCGTTCCCGGAGTGAAAACGTTCCCCGGCGAGTCCCGTCCCGCCTCCGATTCGATTATCGCGGACTCCGGTAATCGCCGGCGGAACGACGCTGTTACCGACCGACCGCGTTCGTTGACTTTCGCCCGATAGGGCCCCTTGTCCGATGCCAATCCCGTCGTCCCCTCGCAATTTATCTCGGCCGTTATTAGAATGTTCCGTCGTTATTGTCCTATGGTATGGATTGCGCCGCGAGAAGCGGCTCATTTCGCGACTGTACAGGTTGTACCAAAATTGTGGTTCCTCCGGGAAGTAGGAGATTCCTGAGGTGATTTGCAGCGACTTTTTCCTTTGCGAAAATGTTCTCCGAGGCACCGTTCGCGAGTTATTAACGGAAAACCGTGACCAATGAGAGGCGACGAGGTCGGCTGACGCGCGGCGGCCGAGCCAACTAGCGCGCGAACCTCGGTTCCGCTGATTGGCGCGGCCGCCGCGCGTCTGCTGACCTCGCCGCCTCTCATTGGTCACCGTTTTTCCTTAATAACTCGCAAACGAAGCCGCGGAGAACATTTTTGTAAAGGGAAAAGTTGCTTCAAACGACCTCGGGAACCTCTCACTTCCCGGACGCGCCATAATTTTGGGACATCCTGTACATTGTCGGCGCCTCGAACGACGACCGCGAAGATTTCGATGCGCACGGAACAGGAAACGCACGGATCGCGAAGTTTTATGCTCGGGGAACTTCTTTCTCGTTTCTATCGAGAACGTAAAACTGTTCTTTTTACGACTGTGTTTTTACCACGAGTTAGGATAACGGAGTCGTAGGTTACTATGGGGCGCGACCAATTCTCTTTGCCATGTTTCCGGGCATAATTAACATTTTATTTATCGAATAAAATATCGTATTAAATTTTGTTGTCTTTTTATCTTCTTCGATGCCGAATGAAAAAATTCGATGGATGTATCAAGTTTATTGCGTCCGCAAATTATCGAAAGACGCGGCGATCAACCCACAGTAACATTTTAATGTAACAGATGTGTAATAGAATAATAATTGATACAATAGATATAATAATGATTGACGTAATAGACTAATATAATTTACTAGGCTAATTAAAATCGAATTCGTTTTTGCAAAGGCGGAGACGCTCGAAAATTCTTGCGGCAAAGTTTACGCATCGTTAAACCGAGATCCGTGCGTTAAATTTCGTTGAACGATCGCAAAGCGTTCGCTTTGCTTTCGGCCGATTCGACGCGCGATGCAAGGGGCCCAAACGAGTCCCAAGTTTCGTAACGAGGGAAGACAACGAGGAGTCGGTCGGACGAGAAGTTGCGCGAAATGTCAACGGAATGTTCGCGTGAACGGCGTTAAGGTTGCAGCCAAGTTAGACGACGATGCGCAGGGCCGAATTTCGGAGGGCCCTCGCCGAGGGCCCTTGCACGCGGAGTAGTCTTTTCGAGGGCCTTTGCACGCGGAAAAGTCTTTTCGAGGACCCTTGCACGCGGAGGAGCTTTTTCGAGGGCCCTTGCTCAGGGAGGGGCCTTTTCGTGGGCCCTTGCTCAGGGAGTAGCCTTTTGCAGGGCCCTTGCACACGGAAAAGCCTTTTTGAGGGCCCGTGCACGTCGAGGGGTCTTTTCGTGGGCCCTTGCACGCAACGTAGCCTTTTCAAGGGCCCTTGCACGCGCAGTAGCCTCGAAAAGGCCCTCGCAAGCACAGCAGTCCCAAAAAGGCCTTCGCACGCGCAGCAGTCTCAAAAAGGCCCTCGCACGCGCAGCAGTCCCAAAAAGGCCCTCGCAAGCGCAGCAGTCCCAAAAAGGCCTTCGCACGCGCAGCAGTCCCAAAAAGGCCCTCGCACGCGCAACTAGCCTCGAAAGGGCCCGAAAATATCGACCCGCAGCCGTTCAGATTCCGCGCGAGTTCTCGTCGAGCGAAGTTCACGTGTTCGCGGTGCCCCGTCGACGGGAATCGCGAATGAAAATGCCGGTCGACTTTCGTCCTCGATTCTCCTCTCCGTGGCGACGGTAGCGGCGGTAACGGCGGGTTTTCTCGGTTCGTGTCGGCGCTTTCGAAGGACCGTTTGCCACGGCAGTTACGGACAGATTGTACCCCCCGAAGGACAAGCACGGTCGAAAAGTTCAGGACCAATACGAGACTTCGGTGCTCTCGGTATGTGTACGTTTGAGCGTGTTTATTGTGTAGTGGAGACAGTAGTGTACCTGGTTGCCGTCGTAGGTCCAGGATCCGAACTTCATGTCACAGTGTTGGTCGTCAAAGGGGAACCAAGTGATGTCTATCTTGCATGTGCTCTTGAAGATGCCCGGAGGGACGTACAGGCAACTGCCGTTATGCGTGACCACCACGTTCGTTTGATACGTCCCGTCGAAACCCTCATCCGCACTAACGTGTTCACATCATATAGATTCATTAATTCTCTCGTGGATCGGACACGGTCCCGGTACGTTTCACATAGTTTTTCTATCGCGACGATACCGACCCAAGATCCAGCTGAAGGATCGCCGCCGCGTGTTTTTCTTTTTCTTTTTTTTCTTGGCAGTGCGAACCGCGAATTTGATGGATCCGCGGTAATCGTTCGCGGGGAAGAAGAGATTGAAATTATTTATTGATCATCATCGCATGATAATGCGCGGATTTTGCGCGTTTAGGACGAGACGAATTGAAGCCGCGAGGTCCATTTTTGTGCGCGATCCGAGCGCAAAATTAGGGGAAAATCTTCGCCGCGGCGAATGTGATCAAATTTTTTTTATGGATTCGCGGTAATCGTTCACGGTTGAATCGCGAACGGTGGGGCGCGGAGGGGGAGACTGGTCGGAGAAGAGACTAAAATTATTTATTGATTATCATCGCATGATAATGCGCGGATTTTGCGCGTTTAGGACGAGACGAATTGAAGCCGCGAGGTCCATTTTTGTGCGCGATCCGAGTGCAAAATTAGGGGAAAATCTTCGCCGTGACGAATGTGATTAAAGAGAACGGCAAGAGAGAGAGAGAGAGAGAGAGAGAGAGAGTTGGTACATCGAGCTGATGCAAACAGCCGACAAAGCTGTGCTCGAAATTAACGCGTTGCCGACGTAAATTGTTGCTATTTTTACTCGCCTCTTCGCATCGGCCATTTGATATTTCACTAAAATTTGATATATTATACATAATTAATAATTATCGTGTATATATAACAATGAAACGAAGACTTACTGTGACCTATTCTTGTGATGGAAATTAATCCTCCGATTCTAAATTTGTTATAGACTATCCTTTTAGCGCAACGAACACGTTACGGATTAAAGTGAAACTTATCCGCGAGGGGAGAGGTTAATTATGAGGTTAATCGGGAAAACCGCGATTAACAGAAAACAGGCCGATTGCCTGAGATTTCCTGTTCGATTTTCCCTTCGCGATCGCTGCCGACTTGCTCTCTCACTTCTGTTTCAACCCGTTCCGCAGTCAACGACGAGAGATTTTCGGCGCGGCAAAGCGTAAACTTCGTCCGCAGAACCTTGTCAACAGAAAACGAACGTTCCGCTCGTTTCGAGGCCGCGGACGCAGAAAGTTTGCCAAGAAATTCGATCAGCTTCGTTGACGACGTTATCTGCGAACGAACTTGACGGCTGGCCTTCGCGCGCGTACGACTTTTCGGACCCGAACGTCGTCGCGTCGCTGCGCTGACGATTTCTTTCGAAAACGAGGAAATACCAAAGCGGAACCGTTGAATCGTTTATCGATCAATGATTGTAAATGACTAGAGCTTTTTTTCTAATTCTTTTTTACGTACTTTTGGTTGGCGAAATATCTCGAAATAATGATTGTAAACGCGAATCGAATCTTTTTTACACTTCTTTATATATTTTGGTTGTCGATCGATCATTGTAAATGACTAGAATTTGTTTTCAATTCTTTTTACGTGCCTTTGCTTATGTCAAGGTTATAATATATATATTATATTACATGATTATATATATATTATAACCTTGACATAACCAAAGTTATGTAACAGTTA